ACTTTAGTTTTGATGCAAAAACGCATGATCGCACCGGCTCGCCTGGTGCGTTCCAGCCTTTTTTTAGGATGGTTAATCTCAAAATTTGCAGGCTACAGAGTACACAGAAACCGTGTCTGGGGCCAAGCAAGTGATCGCTTTCTATGAGAGTCACGTCCCTAGCAAACCAGACGGACAAACCCTCTTGTATGTCTCTGAATTATGACAAAAGATTTTGCCACGGTGCTTAGCATTAAAAAAAAATTAATATTAGCGGTGCTTCAAGCATCTTCAAAACGTTTTCATTTCAACTATAGTGATATGGAACTCTTTACAATAATTACTTTGATCAAGGTACGAAACGGTAATTGTATCAAAAAATGTAAAACCACTTCCTTTACAACCAGCAATGATATCACCCTGATCAAAGAATGTATAACCGATGCAAAGTCCTCGATGCCTTTAGTATTCACCTGACCCTGCGTCAACGCTTTAGAAATGGTGCATATCGGCTTTTCAAGATTTGAGCAAGTGCACTTTTCATCAAACTATCTTTAGGAAACAGCTTGAAAGCAATGATGCTCAGTTGATAGTGCTACACGGCGACTTCAACACCTTTGGAATTACAAAATCGCGGACAAATGTTGAGGAGGTGTTTTCTAGAACACAACAGTATAATCAAGGATCTTTTATCGTTGGTTTCCGTTGAATTTAACCGGCAGACCGATGCATTTTTGATCAGTTTCCAAATGATTCTTTTCTATCAGTTCTGCAATACATTTAATACGGTGTGATTGAAAAAAATAATTGTTTCTTTGTTATATTTTAGAATAAACAAAATGGATGCACCTTGGTGGTATTCAGCTCAGAGATGAAAGGATTCCCCGCCAGAAAATTTTTACATGTCCATAAGCAAGAAACGTTTCGCAGACGTGAACGCCGGTTTTTGAGGATAGGAGCCCGCACTGATGTGCAGATTAAGTTGGTAAAGTTCCATTTTGTGGATCACCAGATGAAAACTCATTACAGACGCACACATAAAGACACACAGACAACCTCTCGATAATATGCGTTTTTGCATTGCATAGATGCAAAAAACGCATAAAAAAGACTTTGCTGGTAAAAATTGTTCTACGAAAACCTGTCGTCGGTAGAGGAATTTCCTATTTATAAGCTGAAGCTTAGATAAAGCTGAGAGCGAATAACTTCCATTGTAGGTTGAATAAAAACAGGGTAGACTGGGTGCATAGGGATGAAGTCAGCCTTGCTTCTGAATGATAGGCAAAAAACAAAGGCATAAGTGTTGCGCACAGTTGCAGGCTGCCGAAAGCAATATAATGGAATAGTGTGCAGTTTTTGTGTAAATCCAATCGGACTTATTCGCCCTCAGCTTCACCTAAGTGTCAGCTTCAGGAGCACTTTTTTGAAGGTGAGTTTTTTGTAAAACAATTCCAACTTTCCATAAGCTCAGTTTTTCTTTACTTTTGCTTTTTTTTCACAGATTCCAATTCCTTGATTTCGCCGTTTTTCCTTTTATCCGCAAGTTCAGGTTTCTTTTAATTTACTTTTCTCCGTAGTGCTGTGTTGGGTTCTTTTTCTCTTTACTGCTTTCTGCAGTTCTTGCTCTGACTTCCTGAATAGTATCCCTGTTTTCCTCTTTCATCCTTTTTCCAATTCTTGCCTACAGAGCAGCATTGAAATTAACTCTTTTAGTGTGTTTTTTTGCGGACCAGCAACTTTCCATTTGTCGGGTCACTGAAGTCGACACCTGCAACTGAAATACCACACATTTGCATAATTAACTTCCCGAACTTCGAGCGCCAGTATTTCACAGGGTTAGCTACACTGATTCCTTGCGATCTTGCTACGGCACGAAAAGTGCAAATCATAGGGTTAGCTACATTGACTCCTTGCGATCTTGCTACGGTACGAAAAGTGCAAAAACGCATAATCGCTGGCCGCCTGGTGCGTTCTAGCATGGGTTATGCATTTTTATGCGTTTTTGCTGTGCAGCGCTATAGCGCTGCTACAGCCAGCAAAAACACATGTTGTCGAGAGGCCGTCTGTGTGTGTGTGTGTGTGTGTGTGCGTGCGTGTGTCCAGAAAGCGAGTGCATTTTCTCACCCACTTTCATCTCAGCAACCAGGAAGCTGGCAGGCTGAAACTTTGGATATATGTTCCTACCCCGTGTGTCATCCTCCCGTTTTAAAATCTTTCCCCA